AATGTGAGCCCTGAGCCCTACAAACTTAAGGAGTTTTATCAGGTTGCTGGGGAAAAAGGTGCTGGGCTGTTTAAGACTCCTTCCTTCTCCTGGGCGAGAAGAGAAGGAACAACATCAGAAGCCGATGATTCAGTTAAGACACTAACCTCTGCAGACTCTGGTAGGATCATATGAATCATGCCTACCAAGCCTGAGCCTTCCGTTCATGCTCAGATTACTCATACTGCCAACCCTAAGATTAGCATATAGCTAATTTTTTATGCATCAGACTTTGTGGTAATAACCCTTTTTGTAGGGAAGAAGCCTTTGCAGCTTCTCGATGTCCGACTAGCTGGGGCAGGATTTTCCCTGAAGTGCACCTCAGTAAACCAGTGACCCAGTTAGGTAAGTTAGAAACTTTGGCAGGAGCAAAGCAGCCAATGTTGTTGTTTACACAGTAGTCATCACATTCCTTAATCAAACAGTAATCATCAGAATGAATTCGTAGAAAACATCCCCTAAGAAAAATTGGAAAACCAAGGTTGGAAATCCTGAAGTTCACCACAAGCTTCCACTTATGTCTAAAGAAAGGTTGATGGAAGCCCAGCGACAGGTTAGACACAGCATTCACAAAACGATAGGGGCCATCTAGAATATAAGCAGGATCAAAGGTGGAACCATGATGGGCCATATTCTAAGCAGGTATTTGGCCAAGCTATGCCATATTTCTTGTACAAGCTGCAGAGCTAATTTTTTTCACAATAAGTAAGCCTATTTTTAGTTTATACATCACTAACTACTTAGGTAGTTTTATGGCAAACTTCTAAATTATACAAACCTTTTGCCTGCGGAGTTTAGCTACGTCATCTTCAGATATTAGATACGGATCCAGTATCAAAGCTGGGAAGAAGATAGTGCTGGGGACCTGGCAGTTCTGAGTGGCTTTTGCACGATGAAATTGCTGCACACCCTTCAGCACACCCTGGCTCAGTCTTTCTGGGCACCTCCACCTGTGCTGCCTTAGCTGACCTGTTTGCCAAGGAAGCAGTAGAATTCCTCTTTTATTGAGGAATGCTGTCTTTGTACTCCAGGACCACACTGTCTGCATCCGTGTGGCAAACCTGTTTGTACAAGACAAACACCTTCCGTGCATTTCCCAACATTTTGCAGAAGAACGCTTAGAATCTTCTATATATCTCATATGAATAAGAAAAATTGAGAACCCCAATAATTACTTTTTGTCTTCCTTATATTTTGATTTTCTCATTTTCTGCTCTAAATTGCTCTAATGGGTGCCAAACCAAACCATCCCCAGGGCAGATTGTCTTACGAGCTTTGACAATGTGCTTTGCCCTCCATGATGTGCCATCTGCCTGCTAATCTTTTGTCAGTTCAACTAATCCTGTTTCTCCGAGAAACAAAAGAGGACAACTTCGCACATCACTGACTCTGCCTCTGGCTTGACCAAGTCATAGCTGACAGCAAAAGATTTAACGTTTTCTGTTTATTAGTGACAGAGGAACTTTTTAAAGCTTTTAACTATCTTACCCTTCATTTACATGGAGATACAATCTATTACTGTAGACACAAGTACAAAAATGACACGTTAGTGCAGCTGTTTTCAGAAATGATCAAGGTAACTTAATGGCGTAACAGAACTTAGTACACATTTAACAGTTAGGTGACTAGCAATACTTAGTCTGTTTAAGCAGCTTTTTGTTTGCAGGCCGTATCTCCACCAGTGTTCCTGCTTGCTTGAGTGCGGTGACAGCTTTGGGCAAACAATCATTTTAGGCTTGCCACTCACTTATTATTATTATTAAAGAGAACTGGGGCCAGTTTATATCTTCATCTGTGATCTGGATGAGGGGGATCGAATGCACCCTCAGTAAGTTCGCAGGTGACACTAAGCGTGTTGATCTGCTTGAGGGTAGGATGGCTCTGCAGAGGGATCTGGACAGGCTGGAGCAATGGGCTGAGGCCAATGGTATGAGGTTCAACAAGGCCAAGTGCTGGGTCCTGCAGCTGGGTCACAACCACCCCATGCAGCGCTACAGGATTGGGGCGGAGTGGCTCGAAAGCTGCCCGGCAGAAAAGGACCTGGGGATGCTGGTGGACAGCCGGCTGAATATGAGCCAGCAGTGTGCCCAGGTGGCCAAGAAGGCCAACAGCATCCTGGCCTGTATCAGGAATAGTGTGGTGAGCCGGATTAGGGAAGTGATCATCCCCCTGTACTCGGCACAGGTGAGGCCCCACCTCGAGTACTGTGTTCAGTTTTGGGCCCTCCTCTACAAGAAGGACATTGAGGTGTTGGAGCATGTCCAGAGAAGGGCTACAAGGCTGGTGAAGGGTCTGGAGGACAAGTTTTATGAGGAACGGCTGAAGGAACTGGGGTTGTTTAGCCTGGAGGAGAAGAAGAGGCTGAGGGGAGACCTTATCACCCTCTACAGGTACCTGAAAGGAGGTTGTAGAGAGGTGGGGCTGACCTCTTCTCCCTGGTGACAAGTGGTAGGATGAGAGGAAACGGGTTCAAGTTATGTCAGGGGAGTTTTAGATTGGATATTAGGAAACATTTTTTCACTGAAAGTGTTATTAGGCATTGGAATAGGCTGCCCAGGGAGGTGGTGGATTTGCCATCCCTGGAGGTGTTTAAAAAAAAGGGTAGATGTAGTGCCCAGGGACATGGTTTAGAAGTGGTTTTGTCAGGGTAGGTTGATGGTTGGACGTGATGATCTTAAAGGTCCCTTCCAACCTCAGCAATTCTATGATTATATGTTTAGGGGCCATCTCCCTTTCCTCCAAACTCAGCCTTCTGCCTGGAGGCAGGAACTCATTATCCTCTTTTACTGTCTTGTAGGTTGCAAATAAAGCGTTTATCAGATTAGCATTAGCAGCACCGACATCATGACATCACAAGTCATCGTGACAATATAGAGTCATGGAAGATGGAATCAGTTTTTGAAGGGGCAAGAGTACTACTTCATACTGTTAGCAGTGCACATATGGTTATATAGAACGGATGAAACGCAGAGGATAAATTCTTGCCCTTTCCTCCGTCACCTCCTATTTCCAAAGCAAGAGATCTTGAGCTTGCACTAACCCAGTCAGAACGTATGTCCAGATGATGGCACAGTTGGGAGTCCTGCATGTGAACGGTAGTGTTTTATTGCTGGACAAATAGCGATGGTGTATCAACTACAGATGAAAGCAGGCCTCAATCACTTTTGATGTGGATGTGAAAGAAGACATCCTAACAGCACCACTTTACATTATGACCCATTCTTTTACCCCAAATCCCCTTCCTAGCCAAGCACTCAAATCTCCCAACCAGCGTATGTTTGAGCATGCATCCAGGCAAGGCTCATGTAAGAGGACTTCCCTAGACATTTCAAGGGGCGATACCCCAATCTGAACAGTTGTCAATACACACTTTCTGCCACTGAATGAAATACTACTCTTCCAGCAATGGCAGAAGGAGAAGATATGGAGCAGTATTTTATTGCAGAATAGGTATTTTGGAACCAGGCTACTATTTTCAGGCATACTTTCACTGTCATTTACGACTATAGATGCAAATTATTTCCTTTACCTGACAATTCAGTTATTTATAGAAAGTCTTTTCCACTTAGTTTACTTAGTTGGGTGGTCTGTGACAGAACCTCACCACAACACTGGCAGTGTTACCTTCACTTCCAACTTCAATGCAGGAACTTGACAGACCAGAGATCTCTGTAGGGAGAGTTTTGAGGAGGAGGTTCAACTAGATCAGTGGTCTCCGAAGTGGAGTGTGAGAAGAAAATATTTAATACAAGCCAATATTTTTTTTTAATTGCAAAAAACCCAAAACATCTCTAAGCAAAATTAAATGAACACTATTAAAAATTTTTCAATTTTTGTGGCTTTTTTTAATAATGTGCATAATGTATTAGTATAGTAGAACATTATACAATTTATAAATGAATAAATATATACATGTCTTGGGGCTGCATGCTTACAATTTTTTGCATGCATGCATGATGAAAAAGATATGGAGACCACTGAACTAGATTATCTCAAGGGGGCCCCTTCCACTCAACATTTCTGTAATACACATTGTGTTTTGGTATCAATTCTATAAAACAATGTTTTATTAGTCCGTTACTTAATCTGAGATAGCTATATGTAATCAAGAAGAATGTAGGGTTTTTACACTCTAGTTTGTACTTCAGACAAGTATCCCAACATTAATAAAACCTTGCATTAATCAGAAAGCCTTTCAAACTGGAGCCAGAAGGGGGGTATTTTAGATAATTACTTTCTGTGAAGAACCAGAACCATTTAGCAAACATGCTTGCAACTCTTATCCAAATGTTATGTCAACATAAAATACATTGAACAAAAGATCAACATGTCTGGGCCTTAAAAGACATGCAAGTATATAGGATTTGCTGTTGAAATTACAGAGTTCCAGGAAACTGTTTTTTATGGTTACAAATAATGTTACACACCCTTTAAAAATTATCACTGTTATAGAGGTCTTTTGTCACAGTCCAGATTCTGTGCGTGTCATACTGAAGTAGTTGTTTTAATAGCAGTCACATAATTGACAAGACCTTGGTTTAAAGTAGTTTCTATAGGTGCTTATTTAGTATACTTTGACTTAATACAGTCAAACACAAGAATTTGGCTATGCTCAGTATAACAGATTCTCAAGTGTTTCTAAAAAAAACAATTTTAAAAAAAAATGAGAAAAAAAATCAAGAAGCCGATATTTTCTCATATACATAAACAACATATAAAACTGTAATCAAACAGCAGCTACGTTCCATTGTGTCACAGACTAGATTACACATATTGTAAACAAGCAGCAAAAAGTTCTTACGGAGCTTCAGGTGTCAATGAATGGACAAGCTTTTAATATTAAGCATTTTAGAGGAGCTTACATGTCTTTAAAGTGGTCTTAACATTTAAGCTTGTAACTAGTACATTTTTGAGGTTGTACAGTTTGTAGTAGTGTTGAAGTTCTATGTTAACGACAGCCTTCACTCAAGACATTCTTCAAAAGATGTCATAATATCACTCTGCAGATTCATATCAATTGTATAGGCCATCTGCAAGAAAGCAAATCGGTGTGTTTTCAGAGCAGTCGGACATTAGTTAACACTATGCAGGTCAAATATTTAATAAAGATTTAGGAAAAAACTACAAAGCTTCTTCCCCAAAAGTGTATGCTTCCTCAGTTATTACAAGTTTGAGTATGCACGTTGTTGAAGTCCTCTCTGAAAAGAGCTGAAGAGGACAAAAGCTTCAGTAGACCTTATCTGAATCTAGCATGATCTCACACTGCAGTTCTTACATTCCATTGTACAATATTGTGAATTTAAAAAAAAATATGTTTAATCTAAAAAAATAGTAGCAATTAAAAAACCTTCGTTACTTACACCAATAAAAAGAGCAAGTCACTTTTAAAAAGGCTCAGTTTTGATATTTCGGACCAGAACAGTATGACTAGCACTTTTGTTGGCATGGAGTATGTTGAAGAGGATAAACAGTTTGCAAACCTTGAGGTTTGAAGTTATTCAAAGGGCAGAGACTCCTCTTTAAAATTTGATTTTACTATGCAATTATTCTAAGCTTATAGGAGTAATAGGACCAAGCAGATAGTTTTTCATGTTCTGCCACTTGAAGACCTACTTTGAATTTCCTATTTTATTTTCTGGACTGACTCCTCAGGTAGCATAGTTCTGTTGTTTTCAGTAATTCAGGGCCTTTAACACAAGGACCTGAGCTAACGTTTCTTATTCTCTACTAAAGTTGAAACAAAATCAGCTGGCAAGAGTCAGCAACTTACTGCTTCTCTCCTCCTGCGTTCCTGTTCCATTTTTCTAGCCAAGTTACGGTCTTGAACAAGAGTATGTTGTTGAGCTTCGGGCAGTTGGTTGCTCTTTTGCTCTTTTTGAGGCTCACAGTCTGTCGCTGCCATGGCATCCAATCCTGTGCCTTCACGGCCCCTTTAAAGAAAGCAGAAGAGATCGGTGTAGGGTAAAAGCTGTTTCTTCTTCTTCTTCATAACAAGCCTTTGCACCTGAAATGAATTCTGCCAATAACTTAAATCAGTGCATAGCACTCAAGCTGTGGTTCTGTTTTACATGTTGATTCATAGGAATTTCCCTTCACAAGAGGTATATGCTCGCAATTGTTGGGCTGTAGTAGGATAAGGTTTCCTGCGTTCCGCATCCAATCCATATGCACACAGGATTTTTATACATGCCGCACAAAGCTTACACACACTTTCTTTCACAGACATACCCACTTGAATATCTGTTACTTTCTTGGCCCATGATGTTTTGCTTCTACCTTCTTCCTCTTCAACTAGTTATTCGAGTTAGATTTCACTAACTTCAGGCAAGCATCTGTAATGTCTTATTCCATAGAGCTACGTACCCAGTTTCCTCCTCGTGGAAACCTGTAGTAGCTGAAGGTACCTGGACTGTTCACTATATGTTCTGAACAAGGAGCGTACTCTTAAGTCTCTCAAATGCTCTGTTTATTAAAATAATACACTCCAAACAAGTGACCTGTTTTAATACAGCCAGTGATGTGTAGGAGCAAGAGAATTTAGGAACTGCCACAGACCTATCTTTCACAGGGTCAAACAGACAAGAAAAAGAGTCAAGACTACTGAAAAGGGAAATATTACCAAAAGCAGAGTTTCAAAAAAGTGGCAAATAGCAATCTAAGAAATTACTGCAATGCAGTAATTAGTAGGCAGTCACATATCCCACTCAGCATAATAATAGACCTCAGACTAAGATACATATGTGGGCACTCACTAAAACAGTGGCTGCAAACAACTAGGGAAGAATACGACAGCAGTAGCTTATTGAAAATGTTTCTGTAAAACAATGCAAAGAATTCTGCTGTCTGAAATGGTGTGCACTGGAACTCCTGTAGCCATGTTAACACCAAGTTCTCGAAAACAAGATCATCCTGCTTCCCCTTAGGATAGCAATGAGACGGGGATTTTCCTGGCTGTGGATACAGGGAAGTAATATACTGTGGACAGGGGTGAATTCTGGTCATGACCAGAGAAATTGAGGGCTCCAGAAGACGCACACATACACACACAAAAAAAAAAAAAAAGGAGAAAGAAAAGAAGAAAAGAAGAAAAGAAGAAAAGAAGAAAAGAAGAAAAGAAGAAAAGAAGAAAAGAAGAAAAGAAGAAAAGAAGAAAAGAAGAAAAGAAGAAAAGAAGAAAGGACTATCGAAGTTCATTTGCTGAAGCGATACTGATTTGCAAGAGAAAAAGCCACTTTGTGCATTTTGGATGTGTGGTTGTGCTTAGAGTGGTACAGCTCCCCTCCTCATCTGACACGGCAATTACCTGATCCAAACCACTTTTTCCTGAATAACTAAGCCACCCAGTACCATACAAGCAAAAAATAGAATAATATTTAAACATACGCGGTTACAAACCTCTCTTTTTCTTGAGGAAGGTTTTTCAGTTCCTTCTCAGCTTGCACCAGAGGCTTTTTAATCTCCTGTGCTTGCCCACTTCTCTTCTTTAATGCTGCTTTCCTGAACTGTTTGAAGCTCTCGGCAGATGTTTTTATCGGAGCTGGAAGCGTCATCGTTTTACACAAGCTTACCCAGGAATCCACTTTCTTAAATCCTGTATCCTGAAGTTATTAGAAAAAGGAAAACATGGAAAAGCCCAAAATTCTCTACAGCTACTAATAATCCATTTTTTGCTTAGTTCTTACATTAGCACAATGTTGTTTGGAGTGGACCTATTTGGGAATATCTACAATAAAATATCCTTACTTTGGCAGAATATTAGGACAAATACAGCAAAACAGACTTCGATGTGTTTTCTTATCAACTGTGAGATTCTTTAGCAATATGCTAAAAATTGTTAACATTTGTAGCTATTCTTGCCCAATCCTTTATATCTACCTCTCCAATTTTTAATTCCAGAAAACATCAATTCGCAAGACTGAGATTATGCAAGGTCCATTGGTGATATTTCAATACAGAGAACATCCATCTCATTTCTATACTTAATCATTACATAACAATAGTTTGGTATTAGGCTTGTGGGTTTTTGTTGTTTTAAACACCTGTGTTCCCCCCCCCCCTCCAGTGGCATTTTCTTCACCATAAGGCAGCATAAACCCAGTATTCTTCAGAAGCAGCGCTTCTAGTAAGTCATATGTTTATGAAGGAAATCAGAGCCTATAAATTGTTTTTGTTTGTAGCACTAGAAATGAGATAAATCTGTACAAGTTATAACAATACCCGAGACCTATCAGACACTGAATATTTGGATCATAAAAGACCAGTAAAGAAGATGCCAGGACAGACAATTATTGATCCTAGTAAATATACTCAGATTCTTGTCCTCAAATAGGACTTGAGCAACACTTACCTTTGTTGGAAGAATTTTGGATGTTGGCTCTAGTATGGTTTCAGGTTTATCAGTAGGTGTACAAGAACCTGATGGAAGAGTATAAAAGATTTTTTGTTCATGTTGATATTATGGACTGTGTTTCCTTAAATTTAAGTGATAAAAATGTATTCATTGTAGAAATTGACTTAAGAATTTACACTGCATTTTTTTCTTCTTATTATTATTCAGTTCAGAATGACAGAAATGCTCCCAAACATTTCTTAAGCTTAAGTTGAACTGGACCACTTCTTTCCAGTTTGGGGCAGGGAAAGGAATGGTTAAGCTCAATTATAGATGAGAAATTGACTCCTGGTTAATTCCAGGAGAGGTCCCAGCAGAATGCCCAAAAAGTTCCATCAAAAAGTCTCAACACAGTACCTTACCAGTTTCCTACCTCCTGTCCCGCCCCCTCCCCATGCAGCCCTCTTCCATTTTGATTCCATTGTTATTTAAGAGTATCTCATTCATCGTGTAAACTCATTTAGCTCATTTTGCCTAATGCTCTCCTGCCTATTTCCTTTTTTTTTTTTTTAAAAAAAACCAACAAACCACCACCAAATAAGTCAGCCAGTAAGGGCTAATCCTCACATTTCCAGTAGCCTACAGGATGTACGGATACTCCATGCAGTTACCTTACTACTTGTGAGGAAAAAAAAAACCCAACGCTTACACACACGAAGTGGAAGTGCTATTTTGACAATACTAGCTTTAGATTAAGAGATCTCATATACCGTGTTATTGTAGATGATCCATATTATTTTGCTTGAAAAACACTTTCTCTAAACCTTTTATGACTTCAAAAAACTTTTTAAATGCTTGAACAGGTATTATTTCCTACAGTCATTATAGTAAGCCTGAAAATAGACTTTTATAATACTATAGAGTAGCTAGAATATCACACAGTTAACAAAAGCCATGTATTGTACGGTAGGTTTGGTTTGTTGTTGTTCCCCCACCCTTACTTATTGCTTTGTTATATTCCCTGTCTAAAAAGCTCCTGGGATGAAACTCTAGGTACTCTGAAAAAGCCACTATTTTAGAACCAGATTATAAACAACACAGATACGTAAAATATCATTCAGCAATGATCATCTACTGCAATTTAAGATGTTCCATTATTTATTTAAGTAAATATTTAATAAGAGACTTAAAACAACTTTTTTTTTTTTTTATGCAAAGGATAAAGTTCTTGGATGCTCAAATCTAGATACTGCTGAAGGCAGAGTATCAAACCCTCAGTCAGTTTATCATAAAAGGGGTTTTCAGAAAGACCTCACAGCCTCCAAAAGTGAAGACAAGAACAGTGCCAGGCCTTTCCCCTATGCCCCCATGCAATTATACCATCTCAAGGGCAATACAAGTGAGCAGGAGAGCTGGAGAACTTTTATTATACAGTGGAATAAAACAGGATGAAAGACCCGTAGAGGCTCTCGAATACTATCGAAGAGGGTTCCAAATTCTGGTATCTCCATTCTCATGGATTCTAGATCCAGTTAAACAAGGTCTACCTAGATCAAATTGTGTTACCAGAGCCTTACTCTCCTGCAGAGTAGAGAACTAGTGTATTAAGGTGTCCCTCTTAGTACAACAAGCATCTTTCTTTCATCAATCATTTATCCTCACACAGGCAGCTTGAATCTTCATCTAAGAAAGTTGACAGTCTTGAGCACTGAATTCTTCAAAATAAAGCAAGAACTTCACATACCCCAAAATGTCAAAACCATTAAGATCAATTTGGTCAACCTGTTATACCCACCGAGAAGATGTACCTGAAGCAAACTTAAATTCATCTTAAGTTTAGTCATGTCTGTCTTAAAACTCTAGATATAACACAACAATATGAGGCTGTGTCAAAAGTATTTGCAGCCATGGGCTTAGAAACATGCATTTTAGAGCTACTTACAGCAATACCAGCCTACACAAAACCTCTTATTGAGAAATACTGCTTTTTAATCTGAAGGGAAGCATGTGGTTACCAGTTTCATAAGTAAAGCTTCTTAACAAGCCATCGCTGAATTCAGTGATACATCAAGCCTGCACCCATAGCACCACAGAGGTGTCACAAGTCTAAAGTCAAGAACTCTTTTTCCAGAGATGCAGGTAACCTCACAGAGATGCCCGAGACAGTGGGATCCTCTACAAAATTTGATGAGATGCTCTGAGCATCCAATTCTAAAATGAGTTTCCCTGGTCTGATCTAAATAGATGCATGTAGTACTGAGCACTCTCTACACTTTCTATCAATAGACTACAGTCCCTACAACAGTTCCAGACTAGCAAAGTTTTTGTTGTTGTTTAAAAAACAAAAGCCAAAATCCTGTATTTCACCTCCCTTCCTTGCAGTTTTCTCAGGAGCTGATAGTGGAAAGGCTAAGATAACACTGAGCACAGCTGCAGGAACTGCAGAATATATCATTGCAGGAACATACACCCCTGTGTTATGGAACGGGCAGATAACTACACTCACATAACAGTGTTAAAAGCTCTACTGTGCAGCACAATGCCCAAGTTCAAGGGTACTCAAAGGCAGAGTCTCATAACAGGATAGTTTCTGTATTAAACACAGGAGCTCCTCTACAATTGCCCTTTGAAAAAGGATAGAAACAGTACAAATTAATTGAGGATTAGGAATAGAAAGTTAAGAGGGATGAAGACTAGGTAGTAAACAATTACGTATGGAAGGGAACAAGCTTTCCCCAATAATTTTGGTTATGCTTTGCTTTTTTTTTTTTTCCTGTGAATATTAAAGCAGTGAGCTTGATTGGTTCCTGCTTGTCTTCCTAGTCCTTTAACATATTAAGATAACACCGGGATCTTGATAGTTACAGGACAGGAATTCAAGTTTTAGGCAGCCTCAAAACTCTGTAAGTGAAGATCAGTAGTTGAATCCATGGAACCCATGTACCAGCTGCAGCCGCTACAAGTCTAGACAAAGGCAGTCAGTATGTGTATGGATAGATGTGTTAAGACCATGAAAATACTGAATAAAACATCTTGGAAAATCAAACCTCAATTTTTAGAGTTGCTTTACTACAACTCAAGTACCCAGCATTATTCTTTGGCAACAATTAACAAGCTCATCAGTGAGACAGCTGTGCCTTTTAATTTCATCAAGTTTTCAGAAGCTTGCTCCCTCCCCTGTTCAAGTCTACGCAGGCAGTCTAGAAAGGAAAGAGTAAAGGAGGAACCAAAACAATCAGTGTCTGTTAACACTAAGCTCTCAGCATGGATGTTCAGTGCCCAGCTCAGAATTCTTTAGTTTGAGATATCTATGAAGTCTGATGCCTCTCTATATGGTATGCAGCTTTCAGGGAAACTGTGTTCTTCTAATAAGTTGCAACTTTGTTCTGTGGTGAAAGCCTGTTTGACATTGCTTTACTGTCAGATCCTTGTCACCAAGAGCTGGAGATGGCAAATCAAAATACAAACAAAATGCCCTGGGAAAAGAGCTCCGTGAAGCTTCAGCAGAAGACAGCTTAAAGGCCAGTGAAGTTCGACAGATTGGAATATCAGTTCTCTCAGACATTCTGGAGGACTGGATTAGCTTTCTAAATTTAGTACTAGGAATAGGTAAGTTCTTAAATCAAAGAGTCATTTGCTTTATATATTTTAGCACAGAATGAGAACTAAGCATCCATTTAACTTAACTTTTTTTTTTTAAAGCAGCAAATCAAAAAGAAAAAGAACAAGGGAAAACTGCACCCCCTCCATTATTGTATTAACATACAAGTGTTCAGCATTTTATTTCTTTAAACCAGGTTCATATACATTTTTAACTTTTTACCCCTGAAATCAGTTACAGTTTTTATTATGACAATACATACTTTGTTCTTGACTAATGGATATTGAATCAGCAGTTGTCTCGCTGGCCTTGTTTTGAAGTTTATTTGATTTGTCTAGATCTATTGTTTTCTCAGCTTGTTTACTCTTATCAGCACTGTCAGCCTGGGAAGTTGTATTGGATACCTAGAAAAGAAGTTAGATTTCAAAATATGTTCTGAAGTGCTAAACGTAGATTCTTATTATACAGCAGCAGGATTAAAGACTTCAAAGCTTAGAGCAGTAAATTGTTGCAGCTCTAGCTTCTGTAAACACCAGGGAAGAATTTGATTTCATTCATATTATGCTAGTCAAAGCAAGTTCTTACATTAACATTTTTGATTTAGAACATGAACTGCTCAGAGATCCCAAGTGACGGAGTGGGTAGAATATGAGAAACTGATAGAAGCTCTTTAGCCCTTAACATGGCACAACATAATAGAAGTTAACTTTTACTGTTGTAAAGACAGTTGCTCCACTCTAGCTTATGGATCAGGGCAAAAGGTAGCTGTATTACTTCAGTTCCGTGGTAGTGTTTTCCTCTGTGCGAGACTGTGTAGTAATCCCCTTCAACTGGGGAAGGCGTTGCACAAACCTGAGTCTCATAATACTTGCTGCCTTTGGCTAGTGGACACAAATGGGAAAGGGCAAGTTGCTTTTCTTCCTTTCTTGCAGGACACATTCTTGTGCTCATAGACTCAAGAGGTAGTTTCTATCCATTTCAGGAAATAAAAACTATTAAAAACTGGCTAAAGCAGCTATGCTTGAAACCACGTTGAGAAAGATAGTTAAACATCTTAAGATGGAAGAGATCATGCTGCTGCAGTTACATCAATAACTCCTTTTGTAACACAGAGGCCCTTCTAACCAGGATCCTCTCCAAGAACATATTAAGACAGAAAACAACAGTGACTAAATATTTCACAACCTCGTCTATGACCCTGAAAGCCCCAGTTTCCATGGCTTCAGGAACAGGAAGAAAAAGTAACAAACTTTTCCAGAATAGCCTCTAGAGTCTTCAGAGTATTACTGAGCTTAAGAGATTGGTATTTCTAGAAAACAGGAACATATACTATAATTTGCCTATGTCTTCTGAAACTGGAGGTTTACAGGGTCAGCTTTTAACCTGTAGGTGTGCAATGGTTACTTAAGTTTAAGCTGTAACACTGAAAAGAAATAAAATAGGCTTTGTAGTACATTATAAACTTGATATATTGATCAGCCAAACTCTTTCCTTTTGTATTGCAGTCAACAGGCAATGAGTTAATGCCCTATAAAAGGATGAGAATCACTTTGTCAGTAGGATTTGATATAACTTTTGTCATAAACGTTAATGGCCTTCACTGCATCAAATTCAAGCCTAGAATATTATATTAGATCTTAAAGGAATAAGAACATGCTTTAAAGATGTTAGTTGAAATGAGTGCATTGGACAGAAGCATGTATTCACCTCTGGTAGAGCATGTGTGCACTCGGCAACAGAAGACTGATTTGTCCTTGGAGTACTCTGAGGAGTTTGCTGGTCTGGTGCATCATGTGGAACAGATACAGCTGAGATTATACCTGAGAAAGAAGTAGTGTATGATTTCCCCTAACATGCAAAGTGCAAGCCCACATCTCAAAATTAGGTTATTGGTTAGATCTGTGGATTAACTGGATGTGAAGATATGTATTCTAGCTGCATGATTTGAGACAGTTATTTTTCATTAGTTTTTAATTGATTTCTCAGTTAATCAGCCACCAGCTCAAGTTGTCTTTTACCAAAAACTCAGAAGTGTCTGAAGTTATTAGACCTTTTGAAGTGAAGAACAGCTCCTTGGATCAAGTTTCTAAGCAACTTAATATTCAATATGTCTAGACAACAGCAATCAATTCAGAGGGCCTATGGCACCAAGCCTTAAATTCAGCTAATGAGGATTTCAGACATGAACTTGAGTGGTGGTGATAGGTTTAAGCACCTAATTCCTGTCTTAAGGTGTTCAGCACTTCCTGTAACTCTAGGTTCATTTAGGTATCATTTTCCATCTCATGGGAGGGAGGCCTGTTTTAATTCTCTTCTGCCCCACCACAAGTGCCCCAGTAATCTGAAACCCTAGCCAGTCCTCAGTGCTGCCACACTTACTTAGGTCATGCTCTTTATAATTCATACCCTGCAAGAACTTTTTCCTATGACCGCTTGATAACCTTCAAAACCCCAAGATAAGCTTATTGCACAATACAAACATTAATTCTGCCATCCCTTCTTTCCTCAGCAGTCAAATATAGCCATGCGTCTTGCCATAAAGATGTTACCTGAGGGAGACTGGGATTTTTGTTCTGATGATTTAAGTGATCTATTCTGTAAAGGCCGAAGCCTCTGCAGTATATTGGAAGGGGGCTGCTGCAATTCAGATGATCCTGGATTTTGCAAGCTACTAGTAAGAGATGAGGGCTGTGCTTGCAGAACAGCATTGTGGGATGTCTTCTGTAAACACAGTGGTATTCTCTAGAAAGATATTGCAGTGGTTAATACAGCCAAATCTTAATTTTTATAGTTATTTGATCCCCTTTCCCCACCACCGCCCCTTTTCCACTGTTTATAGGAGTCAGTACTTCTTGTATTGTGATACTAATCTAGCAATTTTTAAGAGTTTAGATGACAACAACCCATGAGGTGAAGTGTACTGCTTTGGTTGGATGGATACAGAAAACCCATGAGAACAAGACATAACACGAGGATTTGAAGTATGTTTGCTGTTAGTCAGAAAGTCAGTTAGAGCCTGTTATGAGTGACCAACATGAAGTCTAATTCCTGTATGCTGTTTTCTCAAGTTTATCACTGTCATTCTGTCACTGCAGAGGCTGCATTTTTTGAACAACAAAAAAAAGTGTTGCATAATTCCTCCTCTCAGTCTTTGCTTATGAAGATGCAGAAGGAGCAGCTGAATAATAATTTCGCAGCCTAGTTTCCTGTATCCGACTAAGCACTCTAAGTGAAAGCAGGTCTATTGTAAGAAGAATGAAGGCTTTGCTGTGATCTTGCTTTGAAATCTGAGGTCTCTCTCTCTGGTAGCTTCAAGGGAAATTGTGAAAGGCAGCTAACCCTGACAAGAATTAACACCCACTGTATATACAGGAATAGAGCAATTCAATCTTAAAGGCATTAAAAATTATTTCTAGATAAAACTGCTGTTGCTTATAATAATACCACAGTATAAGTAATATAAAGTATCCTGAAAATGACTAGTATATTGTACAGTTTGTTTATTTTCAGGTGTAGAAGTAAGGTTATTCATAGATAAAGAAAAAATATTTAAGTGGGGTTTGCACTTTTTATTAGGTCAATTCTATACTCAAAGTTCAAGTTGGAGAGGATTTTCTTTTTGGGGGGTAGGGGTGGGGTGGGTGGGGTGTGTGGAACATCCTCCCCCTCTCTATTCCCTTCTCCTTCACCCAACATGGAATTACCACAATGATTGTAAGAGGTAAGAGCCTCAGGAGTTCTCTCAGTACATCAGTTTCCATACAAATACATAAGCTACTTTTAACAAACAGCAGATTTTACATCTACATGTAAATCAGTCCTACAGAACGAGTAATATTCAAGCCATATTCATTATTTCCTGATAAAGTTGTGTCTTTTCCAGTACTGTTGTATGTTACAAATAATTTTAAGGGCAAAAATGTTATATCCATTCCAGTCAGTTTACCTTAGGCTTTTCCATAGAAGTTGGAGAGTTCTGCCTGGCTCCAGCCTGTTTTGAGCAGGTTTCTGTAACTGTAAATAGACCGAGGTAGGCAGAAAGAGGGGGATGGAAAAAAAATTAAGTCAGTCATTCGTATATGTTTCATTATTCACATGTACAAGATGTGAGTTGCAGTTGTACCTAGAGAGCCAAACCTCACAGTGAAAGGAACATTCTTATCTTGAATACTTTGACTTCAGCTTGATGTGTTTAGAGAACTTCTCCCAGATATAAAAAAAGACCACAAGGATTCCTGCAGGATCAAGGTCTTTGCTGCCATCAATGACTTCACTGTGTTTGCTTCCCCACACTGCAAAGGCTTGAGTATTCATCTCACCTTACACTGTTGCCTCATATGGATATCTACATTGTAGACCTCCAGTTTGGCAGATCTATTCTGTCCTAGTAAACTAGAGAGTTTTGTGTACAGACAGAAACATCATTCTGATATCCTGATGCCGCAGCACTGTACTGTCCCTTGAACGAGCTTGAGACAGCTTAAGCACCAGGGTAGCCTTTACAGTCAATGCTGTTGGCACTTTTTCCCCCCCTCAGCTTAGGGACTAATCCTTACCCACAAGGTAAGGCTCCTTTCATGCTGCAGACCAGAAGATGAAAATAAAGTAAATCACACTTTCAAAAAGGAACCAAATCCACAAGAGTAAGCTGTAGCCTGATAGTCAAGTCTCTGGGTTAAATACACAGACCTCTTGCTAGCTAATTTTTGTCCCTAAGGCTTTTCATTGATATGTTGAGTAGATGTTGTAGAGTTTGGTGTTTCTTTTTTTAACCTACAAACTCAGTATTGGAGACACTCATTTAATAGAATTGAGCCTTCAACATGGAGCAAACCTACAAAGGTAATCAAAGTCCTTGGTAAGTATGTGGAACAGTGGATGAGTAGATGCTAACAGAGAAGGCAGATGTTTTGCCTACACAAACACAAAAGGAAGCTTTCTAACCTGATTCAGAGTCACTGCTATCTGAGGAGCTCGAACCACTGCTAGTACTGCTGCCAGAATCTGAGGAGCTACTGCTGCTGTCACTTAGTCTGCTTGGTCTCATACTGCACTCAGCATTGTTTTCAACTGCAGGAGAAAAAGAAAGAATTTAGAACAACCTGCACTGGCGCAGGCTTCATATACAAAACTAGGATCAACCTTGCTATGTCTATTCTCCCATATAGCAGTTCATCTTCTGCCATTTCCCTGTCCACTATCCATTTAACAGTGGTTTTGGACCTTTATAGAGGAGCTAGCTGAATATAGCCAATCCTTGGCTATAATCTGTATGAGCTGTAATCACACAATTTACAATCCTAAAGTAGGTTAAAACTGTGCTGTCTTAAGACAAGTCAAGCAATTTTCCCCCATAAGTTTTCCTGCTGTCAAGAGCCTGTTTCTGCACTTGTTGCTGCTGCCAGACTTGCGTACTGAGGTCTTTATCTATAGACAACTCTCCTCTTTCCTAAGCCATATGTACTCCAGAATTGTCATCTTTTGCCACCTCCCCACCATCTGACTGTTTTGCATCTGCAAGGTTGATTTAACTCAGTTTATGGTGATTTTACAGTCAAAAATTTTTTTTTCAAAGTGTGGTGCTCTGGTGGAAGCTTTGAAAATGAGAAGCTACGTGGATACCTGTTTCCCTGGACACAAGTGTTTAAGTGCCAGCTTAAGCTCTTCCTTGTAAACAAGCCAGATGACGGTTGTAAAGATTCCCTGGCCTGCATCCTCTCTTTCCCCACAACACATCTTCTGCAGTTGATTTCAGCTGCTTCTTTAAGCTTTTCCTTCTAGAACATTTTCAAGCCATCATATATACCAGACAGGAAGACTGCTGCCTAAGCTAATGCTGGATGCAAGCATATGTCTTGCAGGGCTGCTTCTGTCATTTCCATAAACTGGTTTTACATAGGAGTTTAATAGATACCCAATAGAGGGCAATAATAGCACTTACCAGTTTAATGAGGAACAACTTGTCCTATAATAGTAGGACCAGCTGCATTTATCTGTTCTCAGTCCCTGACGAGAACCACCAGTAAACGTAGATATGTTCAAGTATGTACTGACTTTGATATTGAAATGCATTATTGCCTGAAAAACTGAATTGATTCTCCTAGGGCACTTCTTTAAGATTAAGGGAACACAGCACACCTGTCACTGACACAGGAGTTTTACTAGCATGACAGCATTAGCCAGGCTGCAGTCTAACAAGTATGACTTGAGTTTGTTATTCTTGAATTTAAGCCACAGAAACTGAATTGCAAACAGATACATAGACCATGGGACACTTCCCCCGCCTTGTTTTTGTATATCACCATAAGGGAGAAGTTGTTCAATGTCCCTTAAGCTCTGAAGGCGTTATCATCTTTACCTGTAATAAAGGATTAGGTGCAAGAACAAGGAAGAAGTTTTACACAAGACAAATAACTGACCAAATTTGCTGCTGTGACTTCAGCTCGTTCAACATAGGAAGAATCTTAAGACAAGCAATGGGAAGCTTAAGACCTCAACTGTTCAGAGGAGAAAGTCCCCAGCTGCATAACAGTACATAAGCCCAAGGGGAGAATCCCATTTTAAGTTATTTCTGTTGCAAATGAGTAAGAGTAACATTACACTTGAGGTTCTCCTTCTTCGGGTTTAGTTGACCACCGACATCCCGTAGTCTCTTCTCTAGCTCTTGTTTCCTCTCAGAATTAAGTTGTTCTTTTGACTTTGTTGGTTTTTTACCTGCATGTGAAACAGAAGTTAACATTGCAGCAAAACAGAAAACAAATCTAGTTTGTTGGGGTTTTTGTTTGTTTGTGGCTTTTTTTTAAAGCATCATTTACATACATACCCTGATGCTTTCTTGGTCTCTTCCTCAAACAGGTTGCCACATATTTCTCTAGTTCTCTAAGTGTTGAAGCCTTTAAAGTTTCAAAGTCTATTTCTATCTCATCAGGGTTAGAGTTCCTCAGTGAAGGTTCTCTTGACTGTATTATATGGACTACTTTCCCAAGCTTGTCTCCAGGGAGTTTATTTATGTCCAAACTCAACTGTCTTTTTTCATCATAATTCATAGGCTTGGCACCATCTTCATCTTCTGACTTACATGCCAACAAGACCTGCTGCATGGTTTTCTTTGACTGACTGCAAGAAAAAGAGTGTACTGCAGTAACAGCAGTTTAAAATAATTTGACACCCACACAAGTCCCACACACTTACATGTTTAAGGACAGCTTTTTCTTAGATTTCTTCTTGTGTTTTAGATTTTTCTTCTTTTGAATCAGGCTTTTTATTTTGGCTTTTTCCTTGTTCTTACTTTTCTCCCTTTTCGCCTTCTCTTTTTTCTTTTTCAGTCTAGGTAAGTATGCTCTGGTCAAAGCCCTCAACTGCTGGTGAACAGATTTAAGCTATCAACAGAAAAAAAAAAAAAAGAGCTGATAATCTTAGGCAATGTAGGATGAACAATAAACTGGCCCTAAATATCACAGGGGATTTGTGGCAGCTGAGCTGATATTAATAGGATGTTTGCTTTCCAAACGCTGTTTATTTTCCAAGCATCTTACTATAGTATGCATTAGTCACAGACTACGCATATAGAAGATGTAAGGCTACTTATTTTATACAGACATTTCTAACAGCATATGTCTTCTAGCATCCTGTGAAGAATAAAAAAAAAAAAAAGGCGAAAATCACTGTAGGAGTATCCAGCAGCTTCTGTTTAATTTCAAACATTTGGGAAGCACCTAAGTGCCTTACTAGGTTAGACCTCTACAATGTTACTCAATTAGGCTAGTGGGACCGGGCTTGTGCATCTTCAACACATAAAGCCCAGATATTTTGCGACATAAACCAGCTAGTTGGGAGATACCAACAGCTTCAGAGAAAGACCTAATTGTTTAAACTCATAGGAATTAGAAGGAAGATGGACAGATGATGAGAATTCGAGTTCAGATGCACTGAACTACTTCACTATTGCAAAGGCTGTCTTGTAGACTTTTAGTTGTCCTTGTGCCTATATTCATAAATTGATGATGTATATGCTACTCTGACAAATGCTGAAAGCTAAACTGTCCCTATTTGACTAGCAGAACAAATGCTAGTTTTCCCAATAGTTTATAGATACAGCAGCAGGTTAAAGCATTATGTTCAAGCAAAAGCAAGACCCATTCCACTCTTCGCCAGTGAAGCAGAGCCATGCTTCACATTACCTTGAGAGTCCTTCTGTTTTACTTGATACTGAGCTTTTTGAAGTAGAATTCCATTACTTGCTTTTGTGTGGCTCAGAAGGGACTGAGTAGAACAGAGCTCTTAACCATAGGAAGGAAATGCCATTGTTAGGAGAATATGCCACTAAGCTATATGTGGAGTATCTGGATGCTCTCATCATACCACAGCAACACAGTTTTATTTTTCAGAAGTTTGCGAGTCATCTGAAGAAATGGTAGGCTAGAGTACTACAGCAATGATTCACTAAAACCAGTTTGTATTTGCTGAGGTACTATTTACTTAACATTTGGAGGTGCTTCCAAACAGAAATAAAGTTCCGTATTATGAAAAAACAAATGTCTATAGAATCTTTTAAATACTGATTCTTGGTGCTAAGCTTTAGAATGAACAATTGCAAGTGGCACTACCAGTGATAAATCATGCACCTTCAGTACTAATGCTTACTTGCTCCTGAAGCTTTGCAAGGTGCACTGTCCTCTGCTCTTCAGAGTCTTCAGTTGATTTTTCTTCAGAAGAGTCATAATTACTGCTCTCACTGGAATAAGCTTCTGTCATTTCTCTTGTGGGCTGTGGCAGAGGAACACTTGTGATGGGTTCATCAGGAATTTTGGCAAAGTGCACCTCAAAAACATCCTAAAGAGTCAGATTTGGGAACAGCAGAGAGGTCAGCATGTTTTTCAGATTTCTAAAAGCGTTTCGAAGTTGCTGCTTGTTTTCTAGAACTACACATCAACATAGTAGTTGGTAACTTTAGTAGATGCTACATCAGGGCATGAGATACCACAAAGGAATCAGTCCTACTCTTTTTCAAGTCTGACTTAAGTGATAACTCACCTGAAGTTTTCTTGCCATAGCAACTATTTCATGGTCTGGAGAATTATGTTTGTAGCAGCTCATGAACATTAATCTAACATCCGTAGCAAATTCTTGTATATCTCTATATTCAAGATTATCCATTTTCTTCTAGAGGAAAAGAAAAATTCATGCATGTTTAGGACTTAAAAGTAGATAGTGTTATGATGAACTGGCAGAAAAAGAGGAGGAACAAGAATTTTGACATGCAGTATCAGGTTCAGCTTGTATCAAGACAGTAAATATTGTAAGAACCATTATGGAAAGACCTGCTTCTCGTTTCAACATTGTCCCTTTAATAAAGTAGAAGAATTTCCTCTCTTAAACAGATTTGCTAACTGTAATTGCTGTAAGGACTTTGTAGTACTAGTTTCAGCACTAGGTCAAGACAACAATGTTTGGGTGATTTTATTTGGTCGCATACTCAGCACTTGGTTTTGATTCTAAGCATGGCATTTATACAAAGCCTATTCCATAATTGTCTGAGTCAAAGTAATGGGCTAGAAATTGGGAAAGAACCTTTGTATTGCACAAGGCAGTTTTAAAGATAATTCAATAGACTGTTGAAATTCAACCCTCCCCACAAAGGTAGATCTTAACTTGGCTAAATACTTCAACCCCAGACAGGTGTGCCCAGTGTTCAGAAAATACTGGATACAGATCTCCATCTAGAAAGGTTCATTTTCACAGAAAATGTGAAAGGTGTCATGTAACTATCCAGTGCTGAGGTTCCAGGGCGCTTCACCAAGGATAATGAGATTCAGACAGAAGCAGAAGTTGACATTACAGAATTGCATTTTGTTTTATAGAACATTAGCAGCAGCGTTGTGTATACATACTGAAAGATACTTAACATGCAGCTTGCTTGGAAGTGCTTCATGGATATGGTAATGTTCTCACTACTTATATTAGCTTGTTCAACAAATAAATAGATTAGCCAGTATGCACGTAGTCACAATGAGACTTAGAAGACTGTCTTCAGCAAGCTGTGGCTAAATTTGTTGAGAGAGGTAAGTGTATATGGTTTCTATGCTCATTATTTTTTTCAGAGGAGAACCAGCTTTCATGACACCTTTTCAGCTAACACTATTAAAATCCAGTCATTACACAAGTTATTCAAGCAAGCATAAAAATAGTCCAGTTTCCTCTGAAACATACTTACTTTAATGGTTCCCAGGTCTGTAGGACATTTGGTGATTCCTTGGTTCTCACCAAGTGAGAAGGATGCAACATCTACAGGTTTTAAGAAAGGCCACGCATATGCTGCATGTTTCTTTGAAAACATTTCTTTAAGTATTTCATTACAATGTTTTAGTTGTTCTGACAACTGGATCTTTTTAAGAATTTCAGGTGACTGCTGAGAATCTGGCAAATATTTCTTCAGAAGCTTACTTGGTATCATACATTCATTTTCACCTCTGCATGCTTTAGCAGCTTTTCTTTCATTAAATGTTGCAGAAGATTCACTACTTGCTGTGAATATTGAAGTAGTAGGAGTTGTAGTGTCAGCCTTCCTTTTCACACCTTTTTTCGCCTAGGAAAAGAAAATTTTACAGTCTAAAATACAGGTGTCCAGAACAGTGCGAGAATGGCCAGATTTCAGACTACACAAACAAAATCAAAAAAATCTAAAAACTGTCAGAACTTTTACAGCTCTTGAAGTCAGAGCCGAATGTGGCACTTCCACAAGTTTAGACTGAAAACCTACAAGGCATTACAAGATCAGCACACCAAGCTCTACCTTAGATGCAAAGGAAAGAACAGGGTGTACTGGTTGTCAGGTCAGGTTGTGGTCAGTTTTTAGCCATTTGAGAAGACACTAAGAAGCTGGTAGGCTATGAAGTTACCGCAAGATGACTGCCATGAGAAGGGGAAAAAATTACTGCAATTCGTTGTAAGCCTAGATGAGGGCTTTATGTACAAGGTTTATCTCTATTTTTCTTTAATCTGGGTGGTATTTGGTTTGGAAGCGATACAATATGTGCTTTGTCATCAGTGTTCAGGCTCTTCAGTAAAGTGTATATTTACACTGTAGGAGAGCCTGGCACATGTGCCTGTTCCTCATTGGAAGAGCAAAACCAAAATTAAGTCAATACAAGAGTGTTTATCTGATAAAAATGTCAGATGTTCAAATATAATTCAGATTGCCGTTAACAAGAATTTGCTTTTGTGAGCTACAAAAACCTTCCAGGCTAGTTACACAATGTTTAAGCAAACATGCTATTTTGGGGGATCAAGCGTTTGATTTACATTGAAAACATGAGAAGTTATTAAACAGAACTTAGAAAGAGCTTTATTTTAATACCAAAACCATTATCTACACCTCAAGGTAAGATCAGTTTCACATTGAGGTGAAGCCTGCAGAAGTATAGCAGTACACTTCAAGAATGACCATCTTAAAGTTCATTTTGTTTCTTTAAGAACGTTTTCATACCACATTCATAAGAAAAGATGTGCCAATCAGTCATCCCAATTTCTGCCTAGTTTCTAAATAACTGGGCCAGTACTGATTCTAGCAGAGACCTAGAAGATCTAATAGAGATCTCTTACTATCTTCTATCACAATGGAAGTTTTGAAGAGATATTGCAATAAGCATGGCTCCTATGGTTTTGCCGTTAGCGCCTGAGGCGGCAATTTCAATACCTTTCTGTCTGAAAGTTATTTGAGGAAACTTACTTTTGTTATAGGGACTGCAGTTGGCATTAAAGCAGTCAGCTGAGCTGCAGACAAAGGAGCTAGTGTAACCTGATGTAGCTCTTGAGTCATCACTGGAGGCTGCTCACTGCTTTCAACTTGTTTCTGCATTGTGCTTTGTTCATTTGAAGTCCCAGGGTTGGGCTGCTGCGTTTCTGGTTATTTTAAAACAGAAAGATATAAAGTTAAGTCTTAAACATTGCAATTAATTTCTTTCATAATCAAATGGAACATTTGTCAACAAAACCACTCTTCCACACCCAAACCGCACAAAGGAATACAAACGTCATTGTTACATAGAGCAACATTGGTATCCTCCCCTACTCAGTACCTCAGCTAGATTATTGTACCAAGTTATGCGTATTTGCCTTTGAGGAAGCTGTAGATTAACCTTAGAAGGAAGATTAAAGAGACATCATGCTAAAAATCTGTAAATTGTAAGAATGTTCTTGCCAAGAAGGCAATCAAGTTGTTTTCTACATACACAAAAACCAAGCAGGAAAGGCTGCATCAAATTGCATCATGAAGGTTCAATTTTCCTAAGCATAGTTAGGACCTGCATATATTGCTTTGCCGTATTACAGATCCACATCACTGATTTGAGGACAGTTTAGACCAATGTTTTCCTATATTTGATTTGGCTGATTAGATTAACAATGTCTTTTACAGCTCTGTGGTTCTGTTTAGTTACCGTAGATGTTCACACCTATTAGTCTGTGTAACACGATGCTGAGTAACACCATGACATTCTCCAAAATGGTAGTCAGTTGCTTTTTTTTGTTTTTTAAAGGGGAATAAACTGTGTGTATAGATCTGTCTCTGAAGCCAAAGTCTGCAAAAGACAGGATAGAAATATTTGCTTGCTCATAGCAGTGTGCTCTACCATCCAAATCAAAAACAAGCACCTGGAACATTTCAAAATTTGTACAAGCTGCATATTTGTGTGTGCAAAGCGAATGAGGGGACTTAAACAGCAAGATGATGTTATGAAAGCATCTCAACATATTGTTGCAATCATTTGAGAACCAAAAAGCTGACTCAGCTTCCAACACATTTCTTGACAGTAATCTTTTCTGGGAGCCACTTCTACCTGTTCAACCAACATATTCTGCCAAGGCAGTGAATTGCATGAGATTTTACTCAAATAAGGTAGTAAAAGCAGGAAGCCAGATAAGTATCCTCCTCTTCCTTTTAACCTACTAAAAATTCTTGTGAGAGGACAAAGGAATCCACTGCTTTTCCTTATCTAACTACCAAATCACCAAAAGGTAATGTTGCTCCTGAAATATACCTTGAGGAGAAAGCTACAGAGATCTATCAAACTGTAATACTAGTTTGAAGAAACGTCTGTTTCAGATACTACCATCAACAAGGACCACCACACCACAAACAACAGTAAGAGGAAGAAAATTAAGTCATTGGGAGACCCTGAAGATCTGTAGAGTTACATAGCTAAATAATAAGAGTGTCTGTTAAGTGACCCTGTAAGAACTGAGCTAGCTAAGCTTGCTGCTCCATGGCTGTCAGAAGGCAAATACTTAAGAGGTTCCAGGGTGAAGAAGTGTTGCAGCTCCTTCAAGACATAGCTAACATTTTCCCAACAACTGACAGCAGTACCCCCTGACCAATTTGGAAGACTACCTTGGAGGTCTCCAAATTAACCCACTGAGATGCATGTGTCATTCCACCCACTGTGTAGTTTTACTTCTACCAATGTAAATATATATTATTTGGCAATATTGAGAGCTTAGATGTAGAAATGAGCACTTTGTACAAGTGAAACAGGTTATAAGAGCAATTAAAAAGACATAGGAAGTCACTGATGAGTAATGAGTGGCAGCTAATCACCTGGCCCCTTGCAATTAGGCTTCCTCATGTCTCTTCAAGGACTTAGTATCTAATTTCCTCATAAGTTTGTCATGTCTTGACCGAATTGTCCTTTTTGTAGGGAAGAGCACTGCATTTCACCAGAAGTTTGCTTGTGAAGCTATGCTGTTACACTACTGATGAAGTTAATTCTGATTTTTACCCACACTTAAACACAAGAAAATAAGAAATTTAGCTAGTACCTATAAAAAAAAATTATGGCTGCACTGGGTCTGCTAGAGCCTTATAGCAATGTTGTTACTTGTCTGATATGTTCTGGGAAGAGTAGGGAACACCCTGATTGCTCCAGGGTTGAGTTGTGACAAGCTACAGAGGATTCCCTGTTTCCAGCTTTTGCTTAATATGTTAACAATTCAACACCTAATACAGGCCTTACCTTCTGGCTTCTTTCCTTTTCTCTTGCCTTTGTTGACAATCACTAGTCTTTCTTCTGGTGGCATTTGGGCTATTTTCTGCATAAACACCTTTTCTAGTTCTTGGGCCATAAACACAACGTCATCACCTGGCTGCAAAATATAGTCAACAACATTCAGAGTAAAGAAGAGGCTGCAGTAATGGAAGGCTACCTTGTAAAATAAACAGTCTACAGAATCCTGCTCCAACAGACTGAAACAAGCCACCAGTACGAGAGATGTCTGTAAGTCCTTGCCATCCCTGCCCCCCACAACTTCTGTTATTATTGCAATACTCCTTCTCCTACTGTCCCCTTGCTGTCCTACTTGCTTTATAGCCACATACTTCCCATAGCAGAGGAAAATGGGGACAGATCTGAAACTCCCTTACTCATTCCTATATTCTGAAAGCTTAAAGATACTAAGATACAGCCAACAAACATACAAGCACAGGGAGATGCTCACATTTGGTTAGGTTAAACTTGTTGGAGGAATGGAGCATGGCTCAGGGTTGCTTGCCTTATGCTTGCATAGCGGTTACACTGTGCTTGCTGTTCGTGAGGTCTGCAACTAAACCCCAGAGATTTTGCAGGCAGAATCCATGTGCAGAAAAGACTATGCAGTCAGTTGTAGCAGCAGGCTAGACTTCACTTACGTGCCCTCAGTCAATCCTAGAAACAGAGCTCCTCCATCTTTCAAAGAAAATAGTTTCAAAAAAAATCATGAAGACAATGACTGATTTACTGCAGGCTAATAACCATTTGCTTGTTTTCGACTTGTCTGTATTGTTCAGTAGAATTTGTTACTGGTAAGAGGCTGTGTTTTGCATACCTTGTTATATATGTAGCAGTTCAAGAACATCGTTTTAAAGTCTTCAATGCATTCTGCAGCTTTTGTGTAGTAATTGTGTTCCAGACGCTTTTTAATGGTGGTCAAGTCCATAGGTTTCTTTATAATACTGTAATAATCCTGTGGTTTTGAAAGAGTTAGTCACACAACAGATATCTTTAATATTGGGATATGAAGATTCTTACACATTTAGTTATGAAAGTTAAATTGCAAAAGAGAAGAGTTGTGTTATGTTGGAAGGAATATTTTATTTAAAGAAAAACTTTCGCCTATAGCCATAGGTACCACAGAAGTAGGTGTTCAGGAACTCTTTACACCATTTTTTCTCCTTGCTCTTTCATATAACATCCACCTTTCAAAGCCTCAAAGAATATTTATTTCAATAGGATCCAGAGCTATACAGGTAGTAGTACTTATGAAAAGTATATGTACTTTTCTTTTGTTATCCCAAAGCCATTCACCTGAAGTAGCACTCCAGTTTACAGATTGGGGGAAAAGAAGCCAAAGACAGACTTTGACAAAGGCTCGGTCACTGACAAAAAGAAGCCGCCAAGTTTTCACAGTTGCTGATCAAATACTTCATCCCCTGGGTTATATTGGCTCTTCTCTCAGGGTTAGCATAGTGAAGATGTGGCAATATGACTGAAAGGCAGCTGGAATGTGAGCTGTTGTGATTATTTTAGTAACATGGCTAAAAGCTTGTTATTAGGAGCATGAGGCCAGTTTCCTGCTGGTGCACTTAAGAAATCAGAACAGGAATATCCCTATTAAGTTCACATATACATTGCAATTGTGTGAAGTGACTGTGACTTCAAGAGTCTTCTAAAGCTGTCCTAACAGTATGTTTTAGTGAAATAAAAAAGCAAAATACTTCATAGGGCAGACTGTTGACTTTACCAGAACAAAACCATTAACACTTTTAAATAATGCAGCTAAAAATAAAATATTGTCCATTCTGCATCTTCAAACACCTGGAGGAGAGAGGCAAAGGAGGCAAATACCTTCATTGTCCTTGCCATGGAGCCAGAGGTTTGCTTGTTATTGTGCAGTGGTTGAACTAACACATACTTTTAGAAGTCAAGAGGCTGCCTTAGAAATCCAGAGAGGCAGAACTGGCCTGAGGCCAGCTGCAAATGTTGCTACAACTCTGATTGAATGACCCTTAATATTAACCTTAAGTGACAGTTCCTTCCAAGAAAGAAAAAGAATAAGAAAGAGACAGAGAGAGTCACTTTGACTGTGCTTTTGAATAAACTGACCAAGTGAGTTTGTCACGAGAAAAAGCTGCAGATAAAGGCTTTTATCTGCTCTAAACGGAACCAATGATTTTGTAGAATTAGTCTTGGAAATTTTGGAGAACGAAATACAGTTGCTTAAGCTGGGGGGCGGGGGGGTAAGAAGGAAATAAACCCAAGGTTTTATTTAACACCTTTCTACTTTTCTGCAAAGAGCAGTACCTGCCAGGTCTTCTGAAATACCATTATGTGAATAAACAGTGTTTTAATTTGACTGAAAGAGCTGGGGTGATCCAAAATCGTAGTCTAAAGATACCTAAATTAAGACAGTTTGTCGCAAGACATTATATTCTTGCACTTTGTTGCAATGAAGTGGTAACAAATAAAACCCGCAATGCAATACAGAATAAGAATTTAAGCATCAGATCTTCTATTTCCTAGAAGGATGTGGAGAACACTGTATTTTTTTTCTTCCCTATTTTTGCAGGGACATTTAATTCCTCTAGAAACTTCAGAGCAAGACACCAAAGTTGATTTGAAATTAAGTAGTACTACCAATGTAATTACTTCTATGCATCAAACTGGGTCCAAATTTGCCTATTTACTTTAGGGTCAATCAGATCTGCTTTTCCATCATAAAGTATTTGACATTGAAAGAGACTGGCTGCCTCCTATTAAAAATATAAAACTCAAAGGCATAAGAAAAAACTCATCATATGCAGTGTTAAGAAATGTGGCTAAACCAGCAGGGAGGTGGAAAGAAGACAAAACAGAACGCCATCATCCAGAAACTCCAAAGGGCCTGTCTAAGAATTCTTATTATCCCTTAAATATTGATTTCCTATGGTCTCAGATCAGAAAACAAACATGCAGCATTTAGTATAAACCAAAGAGAAAACAAAGTTTTCTTGCAGTCTTGCATTAATGAAAGCAGTTCATATGCAAAAGTAGTCTTCCATGATCTGTTGTGTCAGAAAAAAATTTTAAACCAATATTAATTCACAAGTCCTCTAATACTTTACATATTAATACTCCAATTCCAAAATGGCTCTTACAGGAAGGTTCAGTGCTGCTGCATCTACAGGCTGATGAAACGGCCAGGAAAAGTTGTGTCTCCACATGGCTTTCATGACCACCCTCTGTAAATACTGAAGTTGGTTTGTTTGACAACCACTGTTTTTGTTATTTATATATTCCGGTGGAGGAGGGTTAATAATACGAGAACCGTGTTGGCTTGGAACAGACATCTTTAGCAAGTTTGTATATCCGCTTGTTCAGGGATCTTCATTACACATCTAACCTGGGGGAAAAAAAAAAAAGGAAGAAAAATAGTGTTCAGTGAAGATATCTAGATTTAATGCTGTTTACATGTTCACTTCTGTTTGTGGAGTGTCACTACTGTAGCAACAGGCATACCTTCATGGTTTAATCAAGATGTGTCTTACAGTGTGTAATTGCATGTACTGGACCACTAGAAGTCAGTTCTTTAGGCTATAAACAGCTATATTAGTAAAGACTTAAAGAGGAGGCACGTTGAGATCTGTAAGATTTCCCTAGAAATAGGCTTCCTCACCAAGGTTCATCTGTCAAAGTCTAGGAATACAGCCTCTGTTGCCCCCTCCTCTACAGATGAAGTCCTATGGAAGAGGTTTAACCCAAGAAGCAGCTTTACAGCACACACTGCGGGTCTCACTTAGCACACAGCAATAGCTAGGTAATACCTTCCTCATGCATCTCAGCCAAGTGACCACACAGAAGTCCTACAACTGACAATAAAGTGTTTGGCATAAGTGTATTTTGAAACAGCGCTTTTCAGGTTTGTATATATTCACAACAGTATTTTCTGTCAGCGTGCATGGGACTTGTTATGTACCAGAGGACTATAAAAGGTTGATTTCCCTCACTAAGCAGTTTTGGATCATTTAAAGAGTACTGCAAGGAGCAACCATGATAATTTGCCTTTAGCCAGCATAGTATTGCTGTGCTGGAGCAGAACATAAAAGGCAGAGGCTGTGTTTTGGGGTGCATAACACCAGCACTAAGCTAAGCAAGACCTTCGCCAAGCACAATTACAGAAGTTCCGGTCCTTGCTCACCTTCTTAGCTCATCATTGAGTTACACTCAGTCAAGAGTCTCACTTTCTTCTCCCCATTAAGAGAAAAAAGCTTCATGTTTTCTCATTCTAATGTTAGTTCCTTGGTTTACCAGTGTAATGGTTTCTTTTTTGTGTTCATTCGATCAAGCATTACTTATTCCATTTTCAATTTGTCCTGCTTTCTGCCAAAATAATCAATAGTCTGCTTTTCATCATGGTATAAAGTATTTAATGAGTTTCAGAAAAGGTCAAAATAAGCTAGCTAGCTACTGTTACCAGCGCACTGCTAGAATAGTATCTATGCCCTCCTCTTACAACTGTAACATCCCATCAGACATTACATACCACACATCTTACATTTTCATCTTTGTTGTTTATTTCAGAATTCAAAAGCATGCCTCTTCTCAAACAGCTCTCGAAGCTAAAGAGCTGTTCTGATTTCTCCCCCATGTGTTCAGTCTAGTCATTTACAGAATGCAGATGTCTTTCATTGAACAGTACTGCCATCAAGGTAAAAGTTTTCTTTTTTCTTAATAAGGAAAATGTATCAAACCTGAGTTGTTAATACCAGGAACAGTTCTGGGCTACGAGCCAGCATACCTACTTAGACATTACATTAGTCATAAATTTAGTACAAGATCAGATTCTTTTGAGGTCTGCAGTAAAGCAGGTATCAAAGCTACCATTATTTTTTGTAATACTGATTTCACTCAAGAGGACAATTTTAATAGTTTAGGCATGAAGTTTTAGTTGCAAGTCACGTAAATAACAAGCTGTGTTAATTTTAAATTGGAGAATAATCCTCTGTCACCTGTGTCTTCTGATGAGACTAAATCTAGCACCTATTTTAAAGCAAATTTCAAAAAGCCCAAAGACAACCTAGTTTTCCTGGAATAACGTATTCAACTGCCAAGCTACAGCATATGCATAACAGCTTGCACTCCACAGACAGAGAAGACAGAGTCTGCCTTGTGCTTAGCAGTGTGCTAACTCTGAAGTTAAGTATTTCTCTGCTGCCTCCTTTTGAAAGTCTAGTTGGTACAGTGGTAGGTACTGGAGTGTGTTGCAGTAGGGAACTCTGTTTCTTTTTTAATTCAGAAGTGACTTCACAATCTATCCCCCACACTGCCCCCCACCCCCCGCTTCCTGTTCCCACTCCTTCCTTCTAGAGGGGCTTAGAAACACCATAATACTGAAGTCTCAGCTACCTCCTTACAAAAAAGTTTGCAGTTTTAAGCTGCTAGCTATATATCATTTTGGTCTCAGGTGCTGAGGCACTAACAATAAAGCACAAAATGCATTGCATTTTTGTGGTTGTCAGTCTTGCAGCAACTTATTTTCTCCTAGGGAGAGGCTGGTAGTATCAGACAAACCTGCTTTTTTTGACCACTCATTCTGTACTTTTAGTTGGAGATGCCCATAGCTACTGAGAGGCAACACAGCCAGCTGGGGTATTGGGAACATCCTTACTGGTATTGTCCTTCCAGTCAGTGCAGAGCCCTGCCTGCCTCCTGGCGCGCTCACCGGACACTTTCTGTTGATGCAGTGCCACAGTTAAGGCATTCTTATCACCCTCCCTCTGCGCAAGCAACATCCATTTGTTTTCTAGACTTTGCTGCACACATTTGCATGCCTTGGAAAATAGCAACACCTGCCTAATATGAAAAGTGAATGCAAATGTAATTTCTGTTACCAAGTACACAGTCTCAGGCTTCGCATGCTTTTTATTCAGATGGAGACACACAAGCCTGTAGCAATATCCAAAACAGGAAAGGACCAGAACTTAATAGAAAGTTTCATACTGAAATTAGAGTCTGGAAGGCCAAGTAAATTCCAAATACTGAGTTGTTTTGTGTATTCTAGCAAGAGGGGGAGGAAAGGAAGGAGGACAGCACAAAGATGAATGGAATAACAGCTGCAGAAGTTGCAATTTCCTCATCCTTTCCAGCACTCAAGACATACAGAGATTTTATAACAACATGCACAAACAACTACGTGGTATCCTCCATTCTTTCCACCCCAATATATGTTTCATACTTAAAGGAACATACACTCTCACCCCCAAACAACATACAGCTGCATCCAGTCCCAAGAGCAGCTGCTTTGAATATAAACCATTTCTGCTGCTATATGACATTTCTTGCACCAGCAACGCTTTATAATAGAAGTTAAAACAATCCATAAAAGCTGAAAAACTGAAGTTGAACTCCATAGATGTTACACCTTTAGATAAGAAAACTTCATATAATTTGCACCGCCACACATCACGCTAAGTGCTAACATCAATGTATGTACCTCAGAACGGAAAAATCCAGACACACGCATGATCTGCCTCTCCTGTAACTGGTCACTATTAAAGCTCAGAAAAGTTCAGAGGCAGTTTTAAGAACCCCAGAACCCAGTCAAGTTCATCATCCACTGTTTTCATCTATTAGGCCACACTATCATTTTTCCCTGATTCTTCCTGCCAAAACCCCACATTCTGTGATATAAAGTGCAAGTTGTTCACCTTCCCCATCTGACGCACAGAAGCTAGAAATTAAAAAAAGGAAGGGAACAGTTTGAACTTAAAAAATTCCCACCATAAAAAGCAGATAAGTAACATTTAGTACTGAAATAAAAACATAACATGCAATTTTTTGAACACTTTATAAATTAGCACAGTAGACTCTTGAAGGCAGCTCAAACTTGGCATTAAGAGTGCCCAAGGAAACCAGGAGACTGAAGTTTTGTGTACATAACACAGTGTCTTGGGCCTAGATGCCTAGCTTTTAAAGCCTTAATTTATGCTGTGGAAACTAACTTCCATGCCAACAAAAGAGCTAAGACTGCATCTTCTAAAGTACAGACAAGGGTTTATGTTTTGGTCAATCCCTCCTTTGCTACCTCCCCCGCTTCTCCCTAGTCACATAGCACTCTTCTCTAGCTTAAAATAAAACCCAAGTCTATATACTGAAGCAAAAGTGTGATCAGATTCCAGTCAGCTAGATTGTTTCATATATTTCAAACCACCCCTTCCCAGCCCCATGTGCCCTTGAGCTGCTAAGGCAGGTTGCGAAGGTCAAGCAGTCTCAAAAGAGAAGCCTTGGGTGTTTCCTTAAGGCCCAATTTGAAGTTTTTAGCTAACTTATGAGAGGTATGTTTTTTAGTTTAAGAATAAAAAGCAAATAGCTCAGAGGAATTATATCACTAGAGAAGTCAAGGCTTTTGGCAAAACATCACATCTTATGATAATAAAGTTTTAGGTTTTTTTTTAAGAAAGGATTATTTGCTATCACTAGTAGCTCTCTAAAAGCAAACATTAGCTAGCTTACTGAAAAGGTGGCTATTTCCCCTTGTTTTAGGGCAGTGTTATAGCTACCAACATAAACCCTATAGATATCATCCTATAAGTCAGGAACAGAAACTCAGAAAAATATTGGCATACCACATACAGAACAGAAGCATACCATCTACCAGACCCTACACACTAAGAACATTTCATCCTTCAAGGCCATTTTTAACAGGTTTTGTTTAGCTGATAGTCAATTATCACATAGAAGTTTTATAAACAATATTGAACCCCCTCAAGGTTGATACATTAAGGCCACCCAGAACAGAGCAGAGCCTTCATAGTCTAAGTAGGACAAGCTCTTCTTTCAGGACAGATATTCCCTAACAGGCACCCATAAAGCAACATTTCATTATTTTTAGGACCTCTCCTGGGATACCTCAAACAAACATTAGTTGCAGAGACAAGCCATATAAATATTAGATCCTAAAAAACCACTGACTTACAGCTACTACCATAACCAGCCAGCTTTGCTAGCCTTAGGCAATTCAAAACTTAACTACTGCCCGCAAAGGAGACATCTTTTTACCTTAGTTTTAGGGAAAGCCACAACTCATTTCCTCCCCACCTGAAGGGTGAAGAAAGAATAGAGTTTTAGAAGAAAGACAGAGAAGTCTTTATAATCTACTCACTCCCTCGTTTTACTCTCTAGCCCACACCTGCAACCCTAACTAAAACCTGCCCTATCAGCAGTTCTCATTGAAAAGTTATCAGTATAAAATAGGAACAGCTGCTAAGGGCTAAGACACACCAGATGGTTATTTATGCTAGACCTACACAGTGGTTAGTCAATAAAAAAAGGTGAAGGGATAAAAAAATAT